ATATCAGGAGAACGTAAGTCATTCACTAAATGAAATCATATAAAGTATAAAATTATTTATATATATATATATATTTATTTATTATTAACTTATTATATTAATTATTACAATGAAATTATAGAACTTAATCAATTAACGGGTGTTGCGGCAATTTTAAATTTTCCTTTACCAGACATTGAATCAGAGGATGAGGAGGAGGAAGCACAAGATGAAGTGGAAGAAGAGGAAGTAAATAATGATATAAGTACCAATGAGAACAATGCTAGTATTAATGAAGAAGTTTTTTATTGAAGTGATATAAAAAGTTATAATTGTATTTTTGTAATTTTGGTTTATTTTTTAAAATTAAAAATAATTTATTTTCAGCAATAGCAATAGTAATAGGTAGATCCAGTCAAGTTTTAGCGGCGAAATTTCAAAATTTTCGACCATCCCAAATATGATTTTTTTTACCGAAGGAGAAAATTCATGTCAAAAAATTTCTCCAAAGAAAAATGCAAACTGATAATTATAGTTTATTAGTTAATACCAATCAAAAGATAACAAAAACAAAAAAACAAAAAAAAATAGATATAACGAATGTTCTTCCCTATATCTAAAAAATCTTCTTATTATCGGAATTGATTTTTTGTGTAATAACTTATAATTGGCCCTTTAATCGGAAGAATTAGAAAAAGAGAATAAAAAACAGACATATAGAGTCATCCTCTATATGAAAATGTAATTAGTAAATAAAAATGTTAATCATATACGTTACACGACACCCAATATACAAACTGGCCCGTCATCTCACTTTAAATTCAATTGGTGGCCACCAAAACCACTATACAAACCTAAATTTATATTTATATACTATCAAAGTAGTTCAGTAAAAAGTGAAGTATTAGCCATAGAATTTTTTTTTGCATTTGGTAAAACATATGCTCACTTTAAAAATAACAAATTTAAACCAAATCATTTAACGACCATTAGAAAATAATAAGAAATCATACTAATATAAAACTCAGGTTCTACTTAATATTTTAACATTCAAGCTAGTAATTCGAATAAATCATTTTTATTTATTTAATTAAATTATTTTTTTGCATATAGAAGGTACATTTATAAACGTTAATCATATATAACTCTTACACTTTGGATGACTATTCTCTAGTTCTAAATAATGTAAACGATCACAGGATCAAAAGAAGCTACGAGTAATGATTGTAGAGTTGGTTGGATTGGTGTGTGGTGTGTTATTTATTAGTCTATGATGAACGCGTAAACAAATAATATTTAAGATTTAATATTCATTCATTCATTAGACAAGAATTGTGCAATAGTTTAATATATATATGTATATATTCAGTGGGTGTTAAAGGATATGTTTTTTTTCCGATAATTAAGATTACCGGGTTGTAACGGGTTAACGTTTACTATTAGTATTATTATTATTATTATTATGAGGTTGTTAACGGACTACAGTTAGCTTATTGTTATTATTATTATTATTATTATTATTATATTATTATTATTATTATAATAATAATAGTAATATGATTTGGTATTAGTACGTTAACAATAATATTAATGATATTATTTTTTTTTCAATGGTGAAGTGAGTGAGTGAGGCCTTGTGACCGACCGTCTAAAAATCTAATATTTTAATAATATTTTCCTAAAATAAAATTAACATCCTTTATTTATCACAATCTTTCAATCCTTTTGGGGAAAAACAATTATGTGTTATTGATGTTCATCAATTATTATTTAAAAAATCTTTTTTCGTTGAGAAACATTGCTGGTTTGTCTTCAAATGAACAACCAATTGCCATTAAAAAAAACAGTCAAAAGCGTAGTAGAACGTGGATTTATTTCAAAAGTAGTGAAAACGATCAAAAAGAACTGGTAAAATTTGTTCATTCTTAAATTATGTTAATATTTTATTATTAATATGTTAATTCGTGATCCTTTTAAGAAGGAAAGGTTTTTGTTAATGATCGGCGGGGTACATTGATATGGGGTATTTGTCTCAACTATAGGTGTATTTTATTGCATATTTTTTTATTGTAAAATATCGTGCGAATTTTTTTAGCAACATCGACGACATGTTATAAAATTATCCAATCGATTCCTTTATGAATCAACAGATAAGCCTGCTATAACAAAATCTAATGATTAAAATTTTATCAAGTAACATTGGTATGGTTTCTAAGCTAAAAAATGTTCTTCGTGATAGATTACACGTGGTGGGGATCTTAACTCAAAGTCATCCAGGTGGTGTGGGTGGGTCTTTCTATTATAAAAGCAAACTTTCTGTAACTATATAATAGAGATCAAAATTTATTACATGCATCAATTAATCCCTTTGAAACATTTATTTAGTAGAATGCTAATATCACATAATCATAGAAATGACCAACAAATTTCAAAGAACAATAAAACTCCATTTACGGCAAAGATTTACAATTAAAGAGATGGCGGTGTTACAATTAAAAAAACTGGTTAAAAAAATATCTAAAAAAAAAAATTTTAATAAAAAAGACTTCATTGAACACAATGATAGAAAAAAACCAATTTAATGATGATCAAATAATACTAGATCGTTTAAAGATAGGCTTGAAAAATCTTCAGAAAATATCGCCACGCAAGATCAAATCACCAGCTAACCAACCACGTAGGGCAAGCGTAGCCATAATAATTCGTATTAGGCCAACAATAATTAATTCTTTTGAAACATTTTCCAGTGACACCAATGATAACGATATCATTGAATATGAAGGAAATGGAAAAGAAGATTTATCTGTTGTAATAGAAGAGTTTTTTAATTTAACATGGGTTAGAAGGGGAACACCAGAAATTATATATATTAAAAGAAGTTTAAGGGATGGAGACAGATGGTCGGGGCAAATAGCTTTTCCTGGAGGTAAACAAGACCCAGATGATTTAGACGATTTGGATACAGCAATAAGAGAGACATCAGAAGAAATTGGAATAGATCTTGAAAATGACAAATCATTTGCATATATTGGTGCATTAGATGATAGAGAGGTAACATCAACTTTGGGAGGAAAATTATTAATGACTCTTTCATGTTTTGTATTTTTACAAATAACACATATTACACCACCTACAGAAATTTCAGGATCAGAGATATCATCTATTCATTCTATACCATTATCAATATTCTTTGATCCTATTTATACACAAAGATGGAATCCAGTATCAATAGATCTTTCCTTAGGATTATCTAAATCAAGACCAATCAAGTTCATATTATCATTTTTATTAGGCAAGGTTCATTTTAATTCAATAATTTTACCAAATAACAACAATGATGATAATAACAACAATGGTGAAGGAGAGGGTGATGACAGTTTAAGATTATGGGGATTAACATTACAGATGACAAGCGATTTGATAGATTTAATGTATAAAGAGGATGAAATACCATCGAGAAGATTGGATGCAACAAGACCAAGATTTGATTATTTAGATTTAAATATATTTGTTTGGTGGCTTTTAAAATCAAACAGGAATAAATATAAAGAAGAGCAATCAAATTTAATCACTAGAAGAAGAGTATGGGCAAATGGATGGAATGATTATTATAAGTCAATACAAAAATCAATAATTGTTATAATTCTCACTAGATCGATGATTGGTTTATGGTTTATAAGAAAAGTTATCTCATTATGGAAAAAAAAAACAATACTTTGAAAATTTAATTTTTTAATTTATATATATAAATTGTATTTTTATTATTAAAACAAAACTTTTCCTTATTTAATATAGAATATTTATTGAAAATTAAGTCATAGTATCACAGAAAGGTATAAAACATAATCTATGCTTAATGGCTTAATTTGTATCAAAAAACATTATATGCAATAAAAATGTTTGTTGGGAAAGCTAGCTCTATGGGTGCCTCAAAATCAACACAGTAATTGGTAGCGTCTGTGATGAGCGAAATATAAAATATCAAAAGTCTGTATATCCTTGCTACTCGAGAAAACAATAAAATAAAGATGATTATTATTACAGTCGTTCTTTTATTAAGTAATGATCCAGGCTAATTTTATTACATATTGATATAATAAAGAATTTATTTTTAAAAATAAAGAATTTGATTATTTGTAATAAACAGACTTGAAAATGGATCACATGTTCATGCGAAAGGTTAGAATCTGCGTCAATTCACGCGCGTGAAATTCAAATTAGCCAATCAGAATTTTGTATTCAAAACACCCCAAAATTTAATCAAATATTAATTATTAATAAATTTCCCACATGAATGACTGTGAAATGTCATAAACTCTTGACAAATTTACGTCATTATACTAGTATAACGGGATAAATAGTGAGTGTCATCATAACAGGAGTAAATTTAACAAGATTGTCATTATAACGAATGTCATTATGAACGGGGGTGACTTGCACTAGGATTAAAAGCCAAGATATTAGTATTAGTTAGTATCATTGGGAGTGTGTGCACAATATTGCATTATAATCGTAAAAATTCTTCAATAGGTTGTGAAATTAACGAACCAAATCAGGTGAGTCACAACTCGTACTGTGCTAATGAGACATATACCAGTTAATATTAAGAATTGAGATCATCTATATATCAACAGGAAAAAAGCATACGTGGGTGGGCGAAGGATATACAGCCAATGCGTATATCTTATCATAACCATTTCTTTAGGGTTTGGATTATATTTTCATTTGCGCAAAGCAGATAAAAGGACTAACCGGAAATTTTTATTTTGAAAATTTTGGCTAGTTCAAATTCACATGAAGATGAATAACTTTTTGTATTGATGTCCATATTTGATACTAATACTAATTTGTCGTATGAGAAAATATGCTTTTTTTTAGTGCTAAGATCTTCAGAGCGCATGTTTTTTTTCCCAAAATCATTTGTAAAATTTCAGATTTCTAAATATATGCAAAAACGAAATTTTTTAGTTGCTTTAATTTCTATAATTTTTTTCTTTTCTGTGAAATATTTGAAATCAAATATGTCGGAAAATTCCAACAAGACATCTTATGAGGCTTTAAAAAATATCACCGTTAAAGATCTTAAGGATGATAAATCTTTCGAAGCAAATAAAATTTGGGAAAATAATCCAGCTTTGATATTCGTTGGCAAGTGGAATTAATTAATTTTTTCCACAAAAAAAAAAAAGGCACATTTTTTTTGTTAATTTGTTATTAACTTTCTGGTTATAATTTATTAGTTCGTAGACCTGGTTGTCAATTGTGTCGTGAAGAGTCATTAAAACTGGTGTCATTTAAAAACTTAATTTCAGATAAAATGGTGATTTAAAAATCATTTAATTGTACAAGAAAACCGTTGCATATATTAAATATTTAAAACTATATATATATCTATTGATTGATCAATATTTAGGGCTTAAGAATGGTAGCAATTGTTCATGAAAATTTAGATAATGAAGTCGAAGAATTTAATAATGGGTTTTGGAAAGGAGAAGTATATTTTGACGAAAAAAAGGCCTTTTATACTGCGCTTGGGTAATAATTAATTTAATTTAAAAATGTTGGCTAACAGAATTAAATGGTTGTTTTTAATAATAAAATAATTTGGAATGATTTTAGTGGTGGAGAGATAAGATATGGTGGATACATGAGCATATTTAAACCTTCTGTTTGGATGAATATCGGAAGAAATTGGAAAACGGTAAGTTTAACACAGAAATAGCCAATCTTTCAAGATTCATTAATTAAAAAACATTTTTATTATTATAACACATGATTAATATTCAGGGCGTACAAGGCAATTACAAAGGAGAGGGTAGAATTTTAGGAGGATTATATATTTTAAAACCTGGCACAGCGGGAGTTCATTATCAACACAATGAAAAGGTGTGGGGGGATGTTGCACCATTAGATCAAGTTTTAACCGCTTGTTTAGAAGTCTCGCCTAAAAAAGATGATAAATCTATTCAAGAAGAAGTGTCAAGTATCATTGATAAATTTAAGAAAGGAGAATTAGTTATTAATGATAAATTATTGAGTAATGATCCACCAGCAACTTGTAATTCAATAGAAGCTTGCACATAGTTGATATTTTTCACTTAACAATAAAAAAGTTTTTATTTTTTTTGTACCATATAAAGTGTTTAAATAATGAAAAACTAATTAATTATTAAGATTAGTATTTAAGTATTCAACAAATAATTGAGCAACTCTATCCATGTCCAAAAGTGTATGCATCTTATTAATATTTGTAAATTGTTTTTTAAGTCTTCTTAGTTCTGATAATGTTACTGTGTGTGATGGAAGATTAATGTATTTAAGCAATATAAATATTGATGTCAAGAATTTATTAATTTTAAAATTAAATTGAAAAAATTATTGTTTTGTTAGTTTAGTTTTAGTTTAATGAAAGGATATTATTTGATTTGCACAAGTTATTTTTATGTTTGTATTAATTCCTATAACATCATTTTTTTGTGCTTTTAATATTTCATTAATTATTTCTTGTGTGGTTTTTTCTAGTTCATATAAATAATTGGTTTCACTAATTGGATTCTTTATTAAAAAATTTTTTTTAATATTATTAATAATTGCAATGATTGTAATCGTTGTATTTTACAATGTATTTTTAATATCATTACCACGATTGTTGATAAATTGGGCGGTTTTGGTTTTTTTAATATCAAAGAATTCCATAATTCATCAAATGGTAAATTTGTATCATCAAATAATATGGTAAATAGTGGAGAATCCCAACGATTACGATCATCTGGCTCTTCAAATCTACTAACAAGTTCTTCAAATCTAAAGGAAAAGAGAAAACCAATTTTAACTGATAGAAATGAATCTAATTAAAATTTTTTTTTGTTTAAAGAAAAAGAAAATTTTTTTTTTCTTTTCTAACAATGTTGAATTGTATCCATTTTCTCTATTTGAATTCCATTTTCTCGCCAATTCTACAGGTGTTCCACAATGCACTACACAGTGAGGTGTACCAACAGCACGGGAAACACAATACAGTTGATAACGAAACCCTTTAATATAATTCATCCCATCAACAATTACCAAATCATCTTTTGAAACCAATCTTTCAACAGCTGATAATAATGTACCACGAGCCTTTTTTTCTTCTACTCTAGTATCTTTTTATTAGAAATTAGATTGATGTACATAAACTATTTATTGGTTATACACATAATGACAATTTATCTACATAGTTAACATTACCTTGATAACTATCTTTAGCAATTCCCAAATTCTCATCATTAATTAAGTTTACATTTATTGATTTTTCTTCAGCTTTAAATTTATCAATAAAATAATTTTTAATTTGATTTGATCTTATTGTTTTGCCACTTGAAGGTATGCCACAGATAATTATCAATGGCATTTTTTATTAAAAAAAATACGATTTATCTTTTGGTAATTTTATAAAAAAATAAAAAATTTCATTGGCAGAATTCTTTTGAATTCTAGTGTAACCTTGTATTCCAGTGAAAAAGACTGGAACAGATCACAACAACACTGGTTTTGTTTACATATATAATTGTATAAAAGAGCAGCAGTTTTATTTCAAGAATTATGTTGTCAAAATATGGATAACCTTGTTGCTGGGAGGATGGGGTAAAATATAAAAATAATGGCAAATCAATGTAGCAAATCAATGCAGGAATAACCATTTACCATTAGAGATCAGTTGCTTTAACTATTATTATTATTATTATTATTATTTGATCTTTATATATTTTAGGAAGTGAATCTACATATATTTATGGTTACAGTGATCCCGTTTATAATAAAAATGAGTTGTGAAGAAGCAACTGAATTTGTGAGAAATGGTCAATGGGAATTTCATTGACTATTAATAGGAAATAAATAAATAACCATAAACATTAATAATTGGAAAAAATTTTTTTATAAAGTTAATTACTTTTCAATATTAATATAACTTTTCATGGAATCAATTTTTCTAAATCTTTATTCTCTATGTTTTCTTATTCAACCCAAATACAATTTTAACAATTATTTCAACAGCGAATTGAACACCTTTAACCTCTACAAGTTGTTGAAAATGATTTGGTATTTGATCAATTATATTAAATTCATCTAATGTCTTCCCTAATAATATTTGAAAAAGTAATCATTGTATTATTTAAAATAACAATCTTTAATAAATTGTTCTTGATGAGAAAGTAAACTTACATTGATGTGACATAATTGGTATTAACCTCAAGTCAGTAATTATAACACGACCTAATGGAGTTAAGTTCAAATTCCATACAAACAATAATTCAGGATAATTTTTACTAAGGTAATATTATATAATAAATAATAAGAAATTAAAGATTTTAAAATAATAAATCATTTTATTATTTCTTGTTTAAATGAAAACCCAAACCTTTTATCAGCAAATTTCAAAAAACTATTTATTTCTACATTTATCTCTTCTTGTTTGTTAGATTTTTGTAAATGTGGTGGTGGTGATAAAGTCATTGGGTCCATTATCAATTTTGAGTATTTTTGTTTTAAATATTTAAATAATTGTGTACGTTGTTGGTTAATTTTTGCATAATTGACAATTCCTTTGAATAAAACATGAATATTTCGGTTTTTCTCTACCCTATAACAATAATTTATTATTGTAATGTTAGATGATGTGTGTTTATGTGCACATGTGTATTTTTTTTTACCTTTCAAAAAAACCTCCTACTTCTCGTCTAATTGCCTCATTAATCATAATCTTAAGACTTTTGATAATTGAATCAGGCTCACACACTTCAAATTCAACCAAAAAATAAATTCCATATGTTTTTGCATGTATTTGATTTTGAAAAACAGCACTTCCATCGCCACCTCCATCAGTTATTATTTCACTTTTAACATTAATTAATTCAATTTTATTTAGTGTTGCTAATTCTTTAATCTAAATTTTTAAAGATTTTGATTAGAAAAACAATAAATTGTTGGAATAGATTTATAAGAAAAAAAACCACCTTTGAAAAAACCATATCAGTAAATTTTGTTTACGCGAATGTGATTTAAATGGCTGAGATGTGATTTAATAATTATTGACCAATAAAATTTAACATAGCGGGCTATATCTGTGATTGGTCGATCCATAATAATATGCCGATCGTTAGTATTTTTGGGCTTTAGCGTGAAAACTCTTGCTATAATTACAATGTAATAAAGTATGCATATGGTTTGAGGCAGCATAATACCCTAGAGGTTGGACTCGAAAAATTATTCAATCAGATATTGATCCAGAATTAATATATTATGACCATCATCATCATCATCATCATCATCATTATATTTGTATATATCCTATTCTAAGCTTAACAACATCGTCCGTCATCTTTGATATAAATATTGTTAGTTCTCAAGCTCATACTAAAAAAATAAATAATTTATGAGAAGAAAGTAAAAAAAAGAAGCATTTATTGGAAGTATTCCTTTTAAATGAAATCTCATCTGAATAAGGTTGCTTGCTGAAACTTCTTTGTGACTACCGAAATTCTGTCAAAATTCTAATAAACAATTAGTGTGTAACTCTGCCGATTGATTTCTAGAGGGGTTTCGGTAGGTAACCATACATCAGAATCTCAAAATGCACAAAATAGCAAGAACCTAGCTCATTACAGCAGGGATTACTTTTTGATGTAATGCTTAGAATGTGAAAACACAACAACTCAAACATTAATGAAATTTTGGGTAAAATTGATAGATAAAAGTTCCTAATGAAAAGATTAACGTATTCAAATGGTGGGATGAGCATAAAAGGGATTTTCCAATCCTTTAATAATTCCAGCAACGTCAGTTCCCAGCGAGAGGTTGTTGATAATAATAATATTGCCAATAAACACACAAACTCGAAACCAAGTGTTGTAAAAAGATTTGATCTTTTTAAAAAAGAATATAGAAAAGGTGAATTGGTTTAACGATAATTAAATCATTTTTATGTATGTACACATAAGAAATTTCGTGTAATATTTAATCAGTTAATCGATCGATTTGACAGAGTCCAAACTATCAAAAAATGACTAATCCAAGAGAAAAAAGCACACTCATCCATAAAATAATATGATAAACGTATCATTTACTCACTACCTATGATATACTATTACATAATTCTTTATCTAATGTATTAAATTTGTTCATGTGTCCATAGACTAATAACATGTCACACACTATTATCATACCTTATTTTGGCCTCGAATAAATGAAATAATCCGGAAGATAGCTGGCTATAGAAGACTTTTTTGCATTTGGTAAATCATACATTCACTTTGAAAACAATAAATTTAAATTGAATCAATTAACAACTGCTAAGGACCATAAAAAACAATATTGATAGAAAGCCAGGTTCTGTTTAATATTCTAGTTAGTAATTTGAATAAATAAAAAAAAATTTATTTATTTAAATGATTTTTTTGTTGTAAAAAAAGCTAGAAGGTACGTTAATCATATAACTCTTACATTATTTCATAATTCCAACAAGGTTTAAAAATGTTTGAATTAATATGAATGAATCAAAAGGATGTAATCAATTCAGACTTTTAAATTCTTACTTGTAATAATGCTTCTCAAAACCAATGTGAAACACTGGTATTGACCCTATATATATAAAGGGATGCTAGAAAAGCTAAAGAATTAGAGGAGAAAAAATCCGAATTAATTAAACAGGAGAAATTGTTCAAGAGTTAAATGAACAAAAATCAAAATGCTGGTCCAAACTCAACAACAGAGTGAAAGTAAAGGTGAATAAAAATAAGCCAAGTATGATTTTTGTGTTTTTTGGATTAACCATAAAGTAGGGTTTTTATTCGTGATACAAATTCTTATTCGAAATTATTCGTAATGCAGTCAATTTAAAAAATCTATCCGAATTAAAATTTATTCGAATTATTCGTTTTATTCATTTTATCCGTTTTATTCAAATTACTAATTTATTCATTTTATAAAATATAGGCCTCATTTCTTTAACAAGATAATATAAGCAATAATTATATTTATAATCTATATTATTACAATTGCCAGTACTATGGCTTAAGGAAAATGTCAGCTACTGCTATATATTAATATCACTATATTCAAGGATTAAGGAATAATAGATTGATAAAGGAAAAATTTTTTAATTGGATTGAATTATTCGAATTATTAGTTTTATTCGAATAAAAATTTATTTGAATAAACTTTCAATGTAATTTGAATACTCAAATTCATAACGAATAAACCTTTATTCTAATAGAAACCCTACCATGAAGTTACGGAAGTAGGAAAGCAAAATAAGTCACATTATATTGGTAGCACAATGGTGATTAAATTTTGAATTTTGTGACATGGAGGTTTTATTGTTTGTTAATATACATTAAAATTTAAATCATAATTAAATATTCACATTTATTTTGATCATTTTTCCAGTTTGGCTAAATAAACTCTCACTTGTAGTGGAGATTGTAGATGCACACAAATATTTAATAACTAACTTTGACAAAATGGGAAATCTATTTTTATTATATTCCATCACAAGAATGGACCATCTTTCCATATCCAACTTGACTTCTTAGAACTACCCTTTTCTTCAAAATATAAGCAGAAAACTCATTATTGTATTATTACTTTCACCTATTATAGTGACTGAATTCTCTTCTTCCATTTTAAATGAATGATTAATTTAATGAACAAAACAGAAAGAATTCATTTAAAGAAAATTCATTTCAATTCAGTTGCACAAGATATTGATTCGCTGAATATTCGAAAAAATCAAATATTTTAATGAATATAATTCATTGAGTGCAACCTCTATTGTGACATAATTTGGGCTTTGAATAATACAAAAAGGTTAATAAGGAAATTAAATAGGTTTAGTTCAATCAGCACCCAATCAGTGAATACTTGCTATTATTTATTTGTTTATTACCATCATAATAATAATAATGAAACGATTTCGTTATTTTAATAAATGGAACAATAAAGTTCTTTTTTAAAAAATAAATTTTTTTTTTTAAAACCGTCCTTTATTTATTTTTTATAAAATATCCGAAGACTACCAAAGAATTAATGCCGTTGGAAAAAATTTTAAAGCCCAATTCTAAAGCTAATCAACCATCCAAACCATATAAAAGAGTAATCTTTATAGGTGTGGATGGAGTTGGCAAATTTGTAGAATCACCGGCCAATTGTCCAAACATTCAAAATTTTCTTTCGACCAGTGCTCACACTTATAATGGTAGAGCCGAATTACCAACAATAAGTGCACAAAATTGGGGATCGATGTTTCATGGTGTGACTCCCGATAAACATGGTTTAACTAATGAATTAATCGAGAATGGTAAAACATATCCAGAAGATGACAAGTATCCAAGCATATTGAAAATACTTGGCAACAATGACAAAAGCGATAAAGAATTCACGTCTGCAAGTATAGTTTCTTGGTATCCAATTAATACAGGAATATTGGAGTTATCATTGAAAACTCTACGATTTTCATTCCCTGAAGATGAACCTTGGTATATTAGATTTTGGCGTAAAATACAAAGTAAAATTTTTGCCAAATATACCGAAGATGACCCTGTATTTAAAAAATCAATTGAATTTTTACAAAGTAAAAATTATGTAGATTTCTTGTTTATTTATTTTGGCACGGTTGATTCGGTGGGCCATAGAAAAAATTACCAAAGTAAAAGGTATTACAAACAATTAGAATTGATTGATGGATATGTTGGAGGGGTCCTTGAGGCAATCAAAGAGTTTGGTTGGGATGAAGATGCTTTGATTTTGTTGACAACTGATCATGGTGGCATTAAAAACGGTCATGGTGGTGATTCAGAAGAAGAGTTAAACATAATTTGGGGTGCCAGAGGTGAAGGAATCGAGTCAGGCAAAATTCTTAAAGAGGTTTCTAATATGAGTATAGCAGCTGTTGTTTTGACTGCTTTTGGCAAAAAAATTCCTGATTATTTTGATTCTAAAGTTCCTGAGGGTCTTTGGAATTAGATTATATAAATATAGATGTTTGTTTTTTTATAATTATAATCCATTTATACATAATAAATAATAATGAATTAAGCTTTTTATTGATTATCATCCCGTGTTATTTATGTGATTGTCCATTTTTACTTTTACTCGTTCAGAAATAAACTTTTATAATATAATAAAAATTGTTATTTTTCCAAAAACCCAATTTTGTTCTATTCTTTTATTTGATTATTTTCTTTAGTACTTATTAATGCTTTTAATTATAATAAAAGAACTCTCCCTGCTGCCTCAATGTCAATTGAATCCTGAAATTGTAACTAAGAATCCTTGACGCGTTTAGAAGTTAGTCTCTCTCCCTCTTGATAAATAAATATATTTTTATTTTAATCGAATTCTAATTTAAATTCTATTTGAAGAAGTACACCAAAGAAGTCATCAAACAATCTATATTATTTTAATGATATATTTTTATTAATAAATTTTATTTTCTGTTGGAGACAAATTTGAATAACCTTCTGAAGATACACAGTCATAAAATATGCTAATGTGGCAAAACCACAAAATACAGCAAAAAACACGAAATTATTGTTAATGATGCTATTGCTACATTATTGTGTGAATTTATTGTCGTCGTAAAGACGAGAGACAAAAAGGAACATAAAGCCGGATCATTGTATAATGGAATTTGTACCATCAACAAGTTTTATCAAGATGCGTTTAAATTCAAAGAACCTTTCAAGGCTTTGAATTTGTTTCTATATGAGATATCTTACATTCTAGAATGGTAGAATTAAAAGATTTGGATGATGGCACTCATAATGGAGTCGATCCTTTAACAGATGAGGAAATGGTTCAAATATTTGATCACCCACAAATGCCGTGATGACAATACTAATAAGATAACAATGAATTTTCAGTTGATGCTACTACCAAGCCTTTTAAAGCAATATTGAGAAATAATATGAGCTTTGAAGTGAAAAAGCAATACCATTTTTGAATAGTTGTGAATTCATGTAGAGAAGACCTTTCAATCATTAAAAGGCTTTAATGGAGTACTTTCATTTTACTCTAACAACAAAGTTTGAGTTTATTATAAAAATTTTAAAAAAGCTTCATATGACATGAATTTCAAATTTAAATTTACATATTGTGTAACATTATTAATAAAATGAATTCATATATGTAACAAGTGAGTGGGATGGTATTCACAATCTCCAACCATGAATTACCAATCTAACTTTATTGTTGGGATAAATTGTGAATTTAAAAAATTTAATAATATATTGCAACTTGAATATATCACCATTCCAAAAAAATGTTTCTTGCTAAATTTGTTGCTCATGTAAAGAGTTTGTAGTTGATGTTAAAAGCTAGTAATGATTCATGCCAAGGTAGTCTCGTTTCTATTTATTACTATATACATACATACACACATACATACATATAATATAAAATGAAATATTATTAGTACAACCTTGTCTTCTTATAAAATTCTAGTTTTTTTTTAATAAATTGATAGTTATTAAGATTAACTTAAGGCTGTTCATTTAGTTTTCCCTAATTTAACAATAACATATAGCAGAGGCAAGAATTTGTAACTTTACTTATAGAATTCATAACATATGTTGAACTTCGCATTACCCTTTTTAGTAAAACTTTATTAACAAAAAGTTATCAAAAGCACACTGTTCAATAGCTTTAATCCTAGAGAGTATATATACAAAGTATAATTTTACAAGAAGTTTTACCTTAAAACCGTGGTCTTGTGATTTGTTATATATCATGTGTAGTGTGTAACCGAACTACCCTTATAACATTACACAAGTTGTTTTTTTTTTTATGTCATTTAAAAAAATACAAAAAACGAATCAAGAAAATGATCGAAACAAAAGAAGCAAGAATGGTGGCTAACACCACTTGTATTCATCGTCTACAGGGAAGTAAAGAAGAGAAAATTGGTAAGTAATGAGATTCCCTTTGGGTTAGCAAGCTAGTGTAAGATAAAGAATAAAACAATGTATATTCTTTCTCAATTTATGTATTTCACTTTATTAATTTTATAGAACGATGATGATGGATCTGATGAAACCGAGGAGGGCGATGATGTTAATACTAGTGATGTTGATGTTGATGATGGTGGATCTGATAAAACCGAGGAGGGTGATGGAATTGGGATCGTTGCTGATGTTGATGACGATGTAACTGATGAAACGGAGGAGACCGAGATTGATGATGGTGATGCTGATGATGATGATTATGTAACTGATGATGAAACTGATGATGAAGAGGTACCTTTTTTATAAGCTTTTCTGTTTTTTTTTTAGAAATCTAAATTCAGGTATTTTTCATATTGCTTACACTAAAATTATAATAGCCGAGGAGAGAAAAGGGAGTTTGAGATAAGTGAGGCGGCTTTTGGAAGAATTGTGAGGGAGGCGGCAGGGCCAGGAGTGAGATTTGAAGCAGGCGCCATTAGATCTTTTCAAAGGGTACAGTTTCTTTTTTAACCAAAGAATTGATTTTTTTAAAAAAATATTAATAATTAACCTTGGCATTCAAAATAGATGGCGGAGAGGGGAGTTATAAGATTGTTTAGAGATGCGTAAGTACAATACCAAGTTAAAAAATTAATAACTAAAATATGATTTCACTAATCATCTTTTTTTCAATTAGGAGCCGGTGTGCTGCATATGCTGGAAAGGCGGAGGTGGGGTTGAGGATTTAAGATTTGCCGCGGAATTTAGAGAGTCAATAAGACAGGAGATACTTTCATTTTTTTTATAATTAAAATAAATTTAATTTTTTTTAGATCACTTACTTTATCAGACATTTCCCATAATTCCCAAAAAGATTTTTTTTTCCTTACCTTAGAAATTTTACAGCATGTCAGAAACCAATGATTTGGTTTCTTTTTTTTTTATATCATTAACATAATCAACACATAGAAACAATAATCATTTAATAAATAACAGACTATCCTTATCCTTATGCTTATGCTTGCCCTTGACCTTATATTCTCCTTGTTGTTGTCTTTGAATTTTATATTTTTGCAATGATAATAAACCTATCTCTGACAATGAATTCATACTAACCCGTGCATAATTAATTTTCTTTTATTTTACATTTGTCTATTTTTTTATTTATTTTCCTTTCTTTTAGTGAGTTAATATTTAATAAATTTTATTTGGTGAAGTTTGGAAAACATACCTGACTTGAGTAGGAAGTAATAGCGTGAAGGGCACCCACCAAGAGATGTAATCAGGATATATTGCTTAGCAAGGAATTTTTTAACGATCGTGAAAGGTAGTTTCGAAAGTAAAGTATAAATTATACATGAAGTCAAAATTAAAACCCCAAAGTCGAAATGTTTCGACTTGAGGCAACTACATAGTAAAAATCAGTTTCGACCTTATTTCTATTTCGACCAGATCTGCAAATGGTCGAAATAGTTTCGAATTCATGTATAGTATAAATATACATTCGCGGAAATTGTTCTTACGATTTAGTATAAAGAAATTGTATTATTGTATTAACATTATTAACATTTAAATAAATTATTACCATCAAGACTCAGAAATGATCTCACAATAATATTGTCTTTTATTTTTATAAACAAATAGCAATATACTTTATAAATTTTATGACCTTTACCAGCGAAATAACAATTGGGAAAGAGATAATACTTGGATCGCACAAAAAACCATGAATTATTCTTATATTAGTATATATTAATGGATCCATCAATAATATTAATATAATCTAAGAAAAAGCAATACCTATTTTTGCAATGCTGTGTCCTGAAACTAGGTTTAGGCTCTCTCCCAACTGTTTCAAAAGGTTTAGGGTCACAACATTGACTATCTTTATTTTAAACTAACATGAAACCATAGCCAATAGTGATAGTAATAGTAGCTTTTTTTTTTTTACGAATTAAAATTATCAATACTTCTTACATTTCATAAAAATGAAAAACATAAACGCAATTGAATCATCTTTAGTGCCTGAGTTCGAAACGCGCATGTGCAGGTCAATATTGATACGTAAAGCAAATTTTACATACACACAAGTTGTGTTAACTTGAGATTTTTGTAACCCATCAATGCTCACAGCCTCCAATATTTTATACTCTTCCAAAGCCGCCCTGGAAATTTTTAATTGAGAATAATCAAAATCAAGGATTTGCAGTTTTTCCAATGAGGGAGCTCGACTCATTGCAACATACACTTGCCCTTCAGCAAACATACTTTCGTCAACATTCAATGTTACATGTGGCAAGGTCAATCCTTGAGTTTTATGAACAGTCAGAGCAAATGCATTCTTCATTCCTACAAAGAGCAGTTCCACCGATTGTTCCCTCAGTGGAAGTTACATGTTTAATGAAACAATTGGCAACAAAAATAGAACACATGTTATTTTATTGTTTATTATTGTTTTTATTATTATTTGTTTTGTTTATTTTAACGATTTATTTATTTTTTACAATTTACGATTCACACTCTACCGCAATTTTTTATATTGACGAGGATTTCCTTCGCCACTTCAAAAAGGGCATGGTTGTTAAATAATGAATCAAATTTTCGAATTGTTGCATTTCTCTTCTTCACAATAAGCAACAGGAGAACCTTTTCGAAGAAAGCCTCATTCAATTCCTTCAACAATAACTTTTTTTTTCACATTTTCAAAAAAAGGCGCGGTTTGATGTTTTAATTAAATTAAATTAAAAATTGAATTAATTCCAAATCGTTACGTTTTTTTCTTCACACTTTCGAAAAAGGCACGGTCTTTTTATTATTAGGAATAATATTTTAAATAAAACAATTTCCCAAATTGTTACATTTTTCTTCATTTTCCCCAAAAAAACTTTATTGATTTTAAAAATTAATTAATTCCAATTGTTTTTATAGTGGCGATGCTAATACTAAATCAATAGTGGATTAATTTCTTGCCGGTATTTTTAGTAGCAAGAGATGATCGTTTTCAAAAAAAGATTAATTAATTTTCTTTAACAACACATTTTTGGAAAAGGCTCGATTTTAATCAAGTGATTTCTTTTTCATATTTTTTTTTTACTTATTATAAATACAACCTCTGAACGTTTTAAAAAAATTTGGGAGAGTGATCATGATCATGGTCATAATCATTATCATGATCAATGATCAAAAGATTTATACAACGCAATCATGTGAAACGAAAATTTTCCTTTTCCTTCGAAAATTTCTAAAGAGAGATAGTATCATTGCCAATTCTTTCTAAATATTACAGTGCAGGACATCTATAATGGTCAATAGTCCGAAACTTAAAATTTTAGAAGATCTTTCTAATTTAAGTAATCATATTCCTTTTATTGGAAAGATTGTCTGTATCACGGAAAATTTTTAAGCCGATCATCAACCTTTTAGGAAACCACAAGGGAATATCATTCCGAAATTTTACAATTTACATATAGACATATATAAAATGTTCTAACTTTCAAGCCTTATAACTCAAAACTTTTCTAATAAAATGAAAAAGTAAACCGATGGAAATGAAGCTTAGGTCTTTAGCTTTAATTTTATCGGTTTATTTTTTTTTTTTATTTTTTTAATAAGGAGTTATAAGCTTTTAAAATCATGTGATAATCATTGACCGTTATAGATGTCCTGCACTATACCAAAATATTACCAATCTTTTCTAAATTGTTACAAAGTATGTTGCACTGATTTGGTTGAGTTTTATTCTTTCGTTAAATTAAAATATTACAAGCCTTGAATATATCTCATTTTTCTACTATGCAAATAGGGTCCAATTTTTTCACCAACTGTAAATCCTTTATTAGAGATTATTATTGAGTAAAAAGACAAAAAAAAAAAAATAGCTGGAAGCTTGATTTTCCTAGTACAGACCCCAAATAATAAAATTATAATTATAATGCAGAATGCATAGATATTATAACAGAAATTACGCAGAATATAGCCACGGAATTAGCATTTTATCACCGCAGAAAATCATCGTCCCTGCCTTGGTGGCGTATTCAGGGGTCCACATTTTGTAATTTCAATTTCTTTAAAAAAAAAATATTAATTATAATGGTTTATAATGATAAGAAGTTAAAATTGTCTGAAAAATTTTTAGAACTCAAGGTAAATTTTTTATTATGAAATAAGAAAAAAATATTGTATTAAAAAAAATAATTGCACCAAACGATTATTTATAACAAACTTTTATTAAATTTAATTGTTGACAGTTTATGCAAAGACAAGAAGAAAGAGAATTACTAGAAAAGGTGAAAAAGGAACGAAATAAAGTAATTGGAGAATCACAATGGTCTGTTATATATGATGAAATTGATATTGGAAGCCCGTAAGTATATACATATTCTTTGGAGAGTGAAAATTTAAATTAATAATTGCAATTTTTTGATTTAGCAAATATGATGTAGAATATTTATCAAGTTATTTAGCATGCAATAATATGAAGGAAAAAGGACGAATGCTTTTTGGACTTGATGAATCAACTGTGAAAGTAAGAAGAAAATTAAAAACTATTTATAATTTATACATACATATAATCATGCATATATGAACTTATAAAGTATAATCCATTACATTTGATTTATTCATAGGAATCATCTACTATCAAAAATTCAATGGATCGAGCAGAAAATTTTTTGACACAATTCAATAATAATAATATCAGTGTTAATAATAACAATAAACGTAAGCTAAGTCAGAAAAAAATAGAACAAGAAAATCAGAAAAAAGGTAAAACAAAAATTATAAAAGATTTATTTATACAACAATCACGGCAGGAACGAATGAATCAACAACAAAAAGAAAAAGAAATTATTATTCTTGATAGTGATGATGATGACTATGCTCCCGTTAAAAAGTTTCAAAAGGTTGATAATTTTAGGACCCCGTCATCTTTAAACTTTATGAAGCCACTTGATTAAAAATATAATTATGACAAGATAATAGGTAGGTGATGCGTAGATTAATAAATTGTATGAAAAAAGATTACAAGTAATTTTGTTTGTATCCATCAATCAGAAACACATTGTTATCCAATAATGATTATGCAAATTTTCAAGATTGAAAAAAAATTTATTATCAATAATATCAATTTGGAATAAATTGCATTGAGCATGGAAAAAAATTGATTATGTTCTTATAACGAATATACGGACGGATCCATTATATTAAAATTGTATCTGATGAATTACAAATAAATAAAAATTTAAATCATCAATCATCCAAGATGTTATATATCAATTCATTTATTATTTATTAAACACAATATGAATATGGACGATGTGTTGTTATTTCAATTTTGGGTTACATACGCTGTAATTATTCAATTAATTATAAAAGTTTCTTTATTGAAAAAAAAAAATTTCTTTTGTTAAAATTAAAACCTTCT